TCCCGGACAGAGCAGGAGAAGAATGTAGAACAAAATCCTAACTCAAAAAAAACACCAGACTTACTGGCCTGACAGAGACTGGAGAAACCCTGGGAGTATGGCCCCTGGACACCCTTTCAGCTCAGTAATGAAGTCACTCCCGAGGTTCACCGTTCAGCCAAAGATTAGCCAGCCCCATAAAACAAAACGAGATTAATGTGGCACAAGAGTCCAGGGACAAGGGCTAGAAGGCAGGAGGGGACAGGAAAGCTGGTAATAGGGAACCCAAGGCTGAGAAGGGACAGTGTTGACATGTCATGGGGTTGTTAACTATTGTCATAAAACAATATGTGTACTAACTGTTTAATGGGAAACTATTTGTTGTATAAACCTTCATCTAAAGTACAATAAAATAAATAAATTAATAAATAAAAGAGAAGTCCTCCAAGTGATTTTGATGTACACTGAAGTTTGAAAACCCTAAACTGAAGGAGAAAATCCAAACACATAAACTGAGCTGTATCAGGTAACCGGTAAAGGTGATGGGAAGGCACAAGACTGTACACAGAGAAAGCTGGGAAGCTGTGCAAACAAAATCCCAAGAAGGAAAGATAAACCATGAATGAGGGTGATATATAAGCTAGCACAAGTGGAGGAGATAGTGGGCAGAAACCACAGGCCTTGGTGATTCTCTGGAAGTGTTATCAAGGGAGAACAGAGTCAATAATTACTCGGCAGTCTAGGAACTGAGTGATCAGGACTGCAATATGGTGACACCAGTAAGCTGTAGAAACTCAGAAGAGGGTTGGGAGCTATAAGGAAGACAAGGTATCAGTGAGATAGGCAGAGGGAGCTGACAGATTGAGAAATCCACAGTTGGGACTTGGGATATGGTTCATGGACACTAAATATTTCTGGAATCTGATTCTTCTTCACTGTGGCACAATCACCAGACAGAGAATTCCCAAGAAGCACGTAGTAAAGCACCACTCTGCAACTCATCAATCTCAAAAAGTAAAATACAATTCAAAAAATTAATTTCCTCGTCCCAAAAATGTAAGGTAGTTATGTTCACTGTACAAATGAAGTTAGTTAAGGTACAAAGAGGTTAAGTGATGCCACTTGATGGGATCCCTAACTTCAGCTGTCCTGCTTCCTAGTGCAGATTTTTCTATCCCATTCCAGTGCCTCCCTTAGCCAGCAGTAATGACCTAAAGGATATATTCTTCTCCTGATTCTGAAACCCATTCTTCTTTCTTTTGGAGATCAAGTTGTGAAGACTCCTTTTTCTTGTCTTTTGCCTGTTGTCCCTCTGCCCCTACTCCCTCAATTCCCAAGAACCTTGTGACCTTGCTCCCACCACATACTGGATAACCTATATCAGCACCCTCATCTGCACAGATCCCTCTGCTGGGGGAGTTACTGGACCTGCGGACCCTGTGGCTCAGCAGAGATCCTCAAAGAGCAGGAGGCTGCACTTCTGCTTCCCAGGACACTCTCTCCAGCTGTCTCCATCCACCACTTCATGGGCCCTGAGGTCTCTGGTTGCTCAGCCCGTCACCATCAGCCCTCTTTCCCTGTCATCCAGTCCCAATGGAGGGAATCAACAGGGGTTTTCCTACTGTGTTGGCTCTAAGATTCTGGCAATAGAATCACCCCTATGATTCCCCATTTCCTTCAAATCATCTCTCTCAGGCTGACTTGAGGGATCCACGGCTCACCTGCTGTCGGGCTTTCAGGGGCATGGCTGCCATCATCTGGGCTCCCTCTCAGGTAGGTCAGGGGCTGAGGGAGAAATAAAGAGAACCAAGAGTGAGCCCAGCCCAGCCAAAGGCTTTCCTTTAAACCTGCAAACCTGCCAATAATAGTAGCAGCAATCATTTACTAAATGCCCACTGGGAAAGTGGTTTATAAGTATTTCCACTTTTAATGCAAACCATAACATGAGGTTTGTAATTCTGAGGAAACAGAGATTTTGAAAGGATAAGTAACTTGCCTAGGTCTCCAGAGCCTGTAGTCACAAACATCAAGTAATGCTGCCTCTCCTAGTAAAATAATATGGGGGAGGAAAGGAGAGAGAGTGTGAGCTGAGTACACAAAGAGCAACACAAGTAAAAGACACCAAAAAACTTAAGCAAAACTTAAGAGGAAACCCAGACCTTTATTTTTACAGGCAAAATTTTACTGAGAAATATAAAAGGTTAAAGAAATTAGAAAAGAATATCATATTTTAGGTAAAAAATATATATCCTCTCATTCAGTCCCCACAATAATCCTCTAAATTTTATTTCTTTTTCCCAAATGAGAAAACTGAAGCTACAAGAATATTTTTTTCTCTCAGAGGGTAGATGAACTTGGATACCAAACGAGTATCTACCAGACTCCAAAATCCATGCTTTTAATAACTATACCATGTTGCTTTTAATAACTATACCATATTGCTTTTAATCATAATCCTAGCAGGTTTCTTGGTAATGTGATTCTAGGTAGCGCTGTGGTTAAGCGCTTGGCTGCTAAATGAAAGGTACGTGGTTTGAACCTACCAGCCGCTCCACAGAAGAAAGATATGGCAGTCTGTTTCCATAAAGATCACAGCCTTGGAAACCCGATGGGGCAGTTCTACCACTCGCTCTTATAGGGTTGCTATAGCTGGAACTGACTTGATGGCAGTGGGTTTAGTTTTAAGCAATTCTGAGGGGCCCTGGTGAAACAACAGTTAAGCACTAGACTACTGATCAAAAAGTTGGCCAATTCAAATCCATCCAGCGGCTCCTCAGGAGAAATGACCTGGTGATCTGCTCCCATAAAGATTACAGCCTAGGAAACCCTATGGGGCAGTTCTACCCTGTCCGATAGGGACACGAGTTGGAATCAACTCGACAGCACACAACAACAACACAGTGATTCTATGGTTAATATGGAAGAATAGATAAAGAGTACCTGTTGCCGTTGAGTCAATTCCAACTCACAGTGACCCTACAGGACAGAGCAGAACTGCCCCATAGGGTTTCCAAGAAGTGGATGATGGGTTCAAACTGCAGACCTTTTGGTTAGCAGCCGAATGCTTAAACCACTGTGCCTCCAGGGCTCCGTAGATAAGAGTAGCCAAGAAAATTCAAAAAAAGAATCTCGGAGTAAATCTTTCTTTTCTTGGACCTAAGGACAGGCATCTTTTTTTTTTTCATTGCGCATTCTAGGACCCAGTGATATCCAGAAACTGATTAGCAAATGCCCCTAAAAGGCCACTTCAAAATGGCAAAATGTCTGGGTTATTACGTTACCTATATCACTCACTACAGACACTTCGTGTACTTGTTACAGTCACATTCCACCAAAAAAGTCAGCATACTCAAGAGACTTACGGCATGATACAGCTTCCTTGTGCCACCCTCCTCCTCTTTGTTCAGCCACCCTAGCCTTTCAGGTTCTTCTACTCTGCTAATTCAGGAACTGTCCACCTGCTGTTTCCTCTGTATGAATCATTCTCCAATCTTAGAATCTTTGCAACTGCTATTCTGTCTGCCTGTAATACTCTCCAGCAACCTGACCCATCTTTCCCTAGGTAATGCCAACTCATCCTTCAGATATCGAACTTCTGTTATACACTTCACCAACAATGTATTCCCTTTGCTGTATACCACTTATCCCAGTTTGAGATTATACATTGATTTGAGATTTCTTTATTTAATAAACATTTATTGCAGACATATTTCATGCCAAGCCATGTATGAGACATGGGAGAGAAAGTGAAGAAAGGAAAAAAAGGACATGATTCCTTCCTTCAGAGAGCTTAAAACCAAACCAGCAAGTTGCCATGGAGTCGATTCCGACTTATGGCAACACCACGTGTGTAAGAGAAGAACTGTGCTCCAATAGGGTTTTCAATGGCTGATTTTGTGGAAGTAGACTGTCAGCCCTTTCTTCTCAGGTGCCTCTGAGTGAACTAAAACCACCAACCTTTCGGTTAGCAGCCAAACACTTAACGATTTGCACTACCCAGGGACAACTTCATGGAGCTTGGTCTAGACTGAAGGAGAAGCACACGTTAAAGACTCTCACAAATAACTTTGTTAAGATCACAACTGTGATAAGTGCAAGGGGGAAACCATCCTAGTCAGGTAAGGCTTAAGAATAGGAATTACAGGTTAAAGGGGAAACAGACATAACAGTGTATGAAAAACCATGGTCTAGAAATGAAGGGCCAAATTTAAGATACAACTATTGTTCTCTTCCCGTCTGGAACAAAAGAACGTGAAGGAAACCAAAGATTCAAGGAAGAAATTAGTCGACAGGACTAATGGGCCACACAAACCACAGCCTCTTCTAGCTTGAGAACAGAACTAGATGGTGCCCAGCTACCACTACCAACTGTTCTGTCCAGGGACACAACAGAAGGTCCCAGTTAGAACGGGAGAAAAATGTACAACAAAACTCAAATTCATAAAAAAGACCAGACTTACTGGACTGATAGAGACTAGAAGAACCCCTGAGACCATGGCTCTAAAATACCCTTTTAACCTGGAACTGAAGCCACTCCTGGAGGTCACCTTTCAGCCAAATAATAGATTGGCCTATAAGATAAACAATAACACCCATGAGGAATGTCCTCCTTTAAACAGTCAACTATACGAGACCAAATGGTCATCACTTACCCAAAAGCAAAGATGAGAAGGGAAGGAGAGGCAGGGAAACTGGATGGATGGAAACCGGGCAGGTGGGGTGGAAATGGTAAGTGTTGACACATTGTGGGGACAGTAACCAAATGTCATGGAACAATCTGTGTATGAACTGTTTAGTGAGAATTTAATTTGCTGTGTAAAGTTTCACCTAAAACACAATAAAATATTTAAAAAAATAACTACTGAATGTCCTGAAGACAGCAAACAATCTCAAAAAAATATTAAAAAAAAAAAAAAAAAAAAAGGATGGGCCAAGAAGGCTGTAGCAGGGCCAAGGGGAGTGTGCTGCAAGATGAGCTTAAGAAGCTGCAGGACATCAGACCACACAGGGCCTTGTGCACGCTAAGGACTTGGTCTTCCACCTAAAAGCAACAGACCGCCGCTACAGGGTTATGAGCAGGTGGAGTGAGATTAACAGATTTGAATAACATGTGACCTTCCACTAGGCTGAAAGCCCTCGTCGTGTCTCATTTCAAGCGTATCCCCGGACCCGAGAACAGCAACTGGCCAATAGCCGCTCAATAAATAGCTGCTGACGAAATAAGCGAAGGGGCTTTGTGGCCGTGTCGAGCACACAGGGCTTCTCCTTTCCAGCCAGGTACCCGTATTTTCAGCCTCTATTTCCTGAAAGCGGCCGCCGCGGACTAGAGGGAGTGAAGGCACATGAGTTACGAGGGACTGGCCCGCAGGCCGCCTTCTCTCTCCGGGGCCTGAAGGCGCCTTCTGGACTCCCTCCCTCGGCTCCCCGCGGCACCAGGGACGAACTGGACACCACTCTCTAAGGGTGAAGGGCGTGCACCTTGCAAGGACTCCCGAGTGACAAACCCCAACACTCACCTCAGGAAAAGAGAAAGTGAACCGTAACCGGAAGTGCGTCACCACGTCGGCAGCGCGGCAAGAAGTCTTGCGCTCTAGGATGCCAGAGGGCGCCTCTCAGTGGTACTCTGTCTTTACTCCCTAGCATAGGCTGCGCTCTCTAACCTGGCATCCTTAGAGATTTTTGTCTAGGAGAAAAAGTCCATCATTGTTTTCACTAATCTCTAACCGAAATTTAGCATTTCCTTCAAGTATATCTTAGCTACAAACCACGGTAGTATCAGCAGTTCCTGTGACTTTGTCAGCAGAAATCACAGACATTTTCCTATCACATTGCAGTTGATTGATGCAGGTATCTCAAAATAATGGGTTCGTCTCACCACTAATTGAAAATTACCATCCTTGTTATTAGATCTACTTCTAGATATTGTCATTTCATTTCATCTCATTGGTAAAGAAGCACATATATTACTGTATAACAAATTAACTTTCTAAACTATTCAACTGTATTTTAATACAATTGGTTTCCTTTTGTAATGCGATGTGTTTTATTTTATGCATTTAAAAGCCTTATTCTGAGAAAAGGTCTACACAGACCAGACTGTCAAAGAGATCGTTGTACAAAAAAAGCTGTCCCCTGAGCAGTAAAATCCAGTCATGTTAAGAAAGACCAGGACTGAAAAGGGACACATTAAAGAACTATTTAGGAAGTGAAAACACTGGATGTAATAAATTATTTAATAAAGAGAAATGAGAGAAAGGGAGCAATGTATAATAGCCATAGAGTTTGAATGACCTGAGGGATAAAGGTGCCATTAACTGAGATAAAGAATTCGGGAGGATCCGGTAAGAGACTAGCCGAGATTATCGCCCTGAGATAAGCTTTGAACTTGGAATTGAAGCTATTTCTGCAGGCCACCTTTCAGCCAAATAATAGATTGGCTTATAAAATAAACAATGTCACCCATAAGTAATGTACTCCCTTAAACAATTAACTATATAAAACCAAACAGTCAACATACACGCGAAAGCAAAGATGCAAAGGCAAGGAGGGGAAGGGAGGCTAGATTAACAAAAACAGAACAAACAGAATGGAAATCAGGAGAATGCTGACACACTGTGAAAACTGTAACCAACGGCACAATTTGTGTAAAACTTGTTAAAGGGGAACCTAATTTGCTATGTAGATTTTCAACTAAAACACAATCAAATATTAAAAAAAAAATTCAGGAAGAGAAACTGGTTTCAAGCAGGAAGATTATAGAATTTGGTTTTAGAAATACTGAAAGAAAATATATATACGTATATTTATATTATGAATATAATATATAACGGATATATATATCCATGGTATTATAAAGTGGATATGTTGTTGTTGTGAGGTGCTGTTGATAGATTTAGACTCATAGTGACCCAAAGTGACAGAGTAGAACTGCCCCACAGGGTTTTCTTGGCTGTAATCTTTATGGAAGCAGATCACCAGGTCTTTCACTCATGGAGCTTGCTGGGTGGGTTTGAACCACCAACCTTTCAGTTAGCAGCCAAGAGCTTAACTGTTTACCCTACGTGGGCTCCTTGTAAAGTGAACATACGTCCACTTTATTAAAACATAATTCACATACCAGATAATACACTTACTTAAAGTGCACAATTAAATGGCTTTTATTATAGACAGAGTTGTGTGATGAACACCACAGTCAATTTTAGAACGTTTTCATCACCCCAAAAAGAACCCCCATACCCATAGCAGTCACTCCCCATTATCCCTAAGGTAGGCAGAATAATACCTCTTTTAAAGATGTCTAATTCCCAGAATCTGTGACTATGTTAGGTTATATGACAAGGAGGAATTAAGGTTGCAGAAAAAAATTAATATTGCTAATAGTGGATCTTAAAGTGGAGATTATCCTGAATTATCCAGGTGGACCCAATATAATCATAAACCAGTTGCCATTGAGTCAATTCTGACCCATGGAGACCCCATATATTGCAGAGTAGAGCTGCACTCCATAGGATTTTCATGGCTATGACCTTTTGGAAGCAGATTGCCAGGCCTTTCTTCCAAGGTGCCTCTGGGTGAGTTCGAACGCCCAATCTTTCAGTTAATAGCTGAGTACTTAACTGTTTACATTGCTCAGGGCTTCCCCAATACAATCATAAGGGTCCTTAAAAGTGGAAAAGGGGAGTGGAAGAGAGAATCAGAGAGATAGCAGTGAAATAACAATTTGGTCCAACATTGCTGGGCTTTGAAGATGTAGAAAGTGGGCCATGGGCCAAGGAAAGAGGATGGCCTCTAGAACCCAGAAAAGGCAAGGAAAAAGGTACCCCTTACAGCCTCAAGAAGAAACACAGTCCTACCAACACCTTGATTTTAGCCCATTAAAAAAAAAAAAACCAAACCCATTGCCATCCCCTGAGACCTATTTTGGACTTCTGATCTCCAGAATTATAATAAATTCGTGTTGTTTTAAGCTACTATTTATGGTAATTTGTTACAGGAGCAATAGAAAATATCCCCCAACTTCCCACCCCCACAATCCTAGGCAACCACTAATCTATCTTCAGTCTCTATAGATTTGCCTATTCTGGAAATTCAATATAAATGGAATCATACAATATATGTTTTTTTGTGATAATACTGAGTGTTTGATGCTTGTCCAGCATCTAAATGTATGTGTCCTAGTCATCCTACGAATTTCAACCTAAAGGTCACTTCGTCACAGAAGTCTCCCCTGACTCTGTGGACCAGGTAAAGCCCCCTTATTAGACACTCCTCTCCACCTCTACTCGCAACAAAAGCATGTGGCCCAGGCAGTTTTATACGTGGATTTCCCTCCCCAAACTTCCAAAGAACAGATAACTGCTAGGCTGTTCAAACTGTTCTAGAGCACAGATAAAGAACAGCCTCCAAGCTATTTTTAGTAATCTGGTATAATCCAGTTCCAAAATCTTGACAAAAATGGAAAAATCAGAGCAATCACACTTATGAATATAGATGTCAATATCCTAAGCACGTTAAATACAATCCATTAGGATTTAAAGAAATTTAAAACACCATATGGAACTAAAATTATAAGAACATAAGGATGGCTTGATATTAAGAAAAACATAAATATGATTAATCATATGTTATTGCCGTTTTTGTTGTTAGCTGCCATCAGGTTGGCCCCCAACTCATGATGACCCCATGCACAAGGGAATAAAACACTGCCCGATCCTGCGCCATCCCCATAATTGGTTGCAGATTGGACCGTTATGATCCAGAGGGTTTACATTGGCTGATCTGTAGATCTCTAGGGCTTTCTTCCTAGCCTTAGTCTGGAAGCTCTGCTGAAACCTGTTTAGCATCATAGCAACATGCAAGCCTCCACTGACGGATGGGTGGTGGCTGTGTGTGAGGTGAATTCACCAGAAATCAAACCCAGGTCTCCTGCATGGAAGGTGTCTTAGTCATCTAGTGCTGCTATAACAGAAATACCACAAGTGGATGGCCTTAACAAAGATAAATTTATTCTCTCACAATCTAGTAGGCTACAAGTCCAAATTTAGGGCGTCAGCTCCAGGGGAAGGCTTTCTGTCTGTGTCGGCTCTGGATCTGGAGGAAGGTCCTTGTCATCAATCCTCCCCTGGTCTAGGAGCTTCTCAGCGCAGGTACCCGAGGTCCAAAGGATGTGCTATTCTGCTGACTCTTGTTTCTTGATGGTATGAGGTCCCCCTGTCTCTCTGCTCGCTTCTCTCTTTTATATCTCAAAAGAGATTAACTCAAAACACAATCCAATCTTGCAAATTGAGTCTTGTCTCATGAACATAATTGCCACCTATCCCACCTCATTAACATCATAGAGGCAGGATTTACAACACATAGGAAAATCACATCAGATGACAAAATAGTGGACAATCACACAATTCTGGGAATCATGGCCTATCCAAACTGATACACATATTTTTGGGGGACGCAATTCAATCCATGACAGAAGGCGAGAATGCTACTACTGAACCACCACTGCTTCCAATTAATTATATAAATAGGTCAAAAAAGAAACATCATCTGGAAAGAGCTAAAGTGATATAACATTAAGCATTCATTCCTATTAGAAACTGAATAGGAAATAAAAACTTTTAAAAGTCTTTTCTATTTAATGCATTCATCTTTATTATATAAAAGAGCCAAAGATGGATTTTGTATATTGACCCTATCTTGTTTACTTCTTCACAGAAGGCTGGGACCTGTTAATTCAAAAGCCCACCAGCACCAAGCTCCAATTTTTACAGATCCAATTGCTTTTAAAATAGCCCATATTAGCATATTTTTAGCCATTTAGAGCCTGCCTGCTTTGCATGCCCCATGAAACTACACCCAACACCTGCTAGCCATAGGTAAGATAAATCCAGGGGCCATAAAAGACCCCAAGCTGCTGCTACTGCTGCCCTTTGGAGCTCTCAGGCCCAGAGCTCTCCACCGTGCTGCTCGGTGTCATCACCTAGACACCTAAGACCCCTCTCCAGTCCCTCTCTCCTCAAGGAATCCCCTTGCTCTGCTTCCCTTCTGAGTGCTGCCCTTCCTACTCCCCACATGTTGCCTTTGAAAGGTCTCATGCTGTGAGGAACATGTCCCCACATGCAAACCTGTCAAAGAATCACCGCTCACTTTGGGCTCATTGTGCACTACCACTACCTCATGGTCATTTTTTTCTCAATCAGCCCTCAAATGTCCCTCGAACTCACTGCGTTATGCTCTACAGAACAGTCACTGCTATTTAGTTTTATAACAACTTGAAATTTCCATTACAGTGCTTAAATTGTAACTTCCATCTACCTGGGATACCTGTATGTTGACTTGGCTTAATTAGGTTATCAGTGGCTTTCCCACATACACAATACTTAAGACTGTTTGACTCTGTGTGAACCATCAGCGTCATAGCTACAGCCTTTCCGACACGTCATTGTCTGAAAGGTTTCTTCATAGAACGGACTCAGTGATGTCAAATCTGGTTTATAGTAGCTCTAAAGGCTCTGAAACATTTGAGACATTAAAATGCCTCAGTAAACTCAAATCAAAACTACTTAAGCAAAAAAAATTTAAATTTATTGATTCCTGATATTGAAAAACCCAGAGGTAGTGTTCATTTCTCTCCATCTCAGTCTGTCATCTGCAGGGTTGGCTTCATTCTCATCATTAATGTGGATCAAGACTAACATCCAAGTCTAGCAGAAAGAGAATGTTGCTTCCTAGGGTTTATATGGTCCTAGGATCCATTTTAAGGAGCCCTGGTGGTGCAGTGGTTAAGCACTTGCTGTTAATCAAAAGGTCAGCAGTTTGAATCCAGCAGCTGCTCTGCAGGAGAAAGATGTAGCAGTCTGCTTCTGTAAACATTCACAGCCCTGAGCGAAGTAAGTCAATCACAAAAGGACAAATATTGTATGAGACCTCTACTCTAAAAACTCATGAAAAAGTTTACACAGAAAAAGAAACAATCTTTGCTGGTTAAGAGGGATGGGAGGCATGTGAGGGGGAAGTACTAAACAGACAAGTGGTAATTTTGGTGAACGGAAAGACAGTACACAATACCGGGGAAGCCAGCACAGCTTGTACAAGGAAAGGTCATGGAAGCTCCAAAGACAC